TGCGCACGCAAGGAGGTGCTATTCCTATTCTTCTTCTGGAAAAACGAAAGAGAGCTTCAAAACAGACTGCAGCGCCATCTGAAGCAAAGAGCGTACTTCCTGCGGACACTTTTTTGGCCGAGTGGCCCATCTTGTTATGTACTATCTTTGGTATGTCATGGTAGGATTTTCATTGAGCATATTAAGTGCGACTGAACTGTATTCAGAGTGATGCAGTTTGGTGCATGAGTTTTACTTCCATTAAAAAAATGTCTTGATTGTGTGTCTTACTTTCACATTTTTTTTTGGCATTTGAAGATGCTGAATAATTTTTAAAACTGTCTTTGAAATGTACACATTTTGTGTAAGTTTTTAAGAGAGAATGATAAAATGAGATGGGATTGAGATATATTTGGTTGTTGCTTTTATCTCTCAGCAGCTGGGTTTGTTAATTTCGCTGGGTTTTATTTGTGTCATTCGTTGCTTTTTCTCATGTGGCATCATGGTTTTTTAAAATGTTTTCATACAACAGAAAGGACTTGCAGATTGTGTGTGTGTGTGGCTGTTCTGCTGTTTGTAAAAATTAAGAAAGGATGGGAGTTTTAGACTCAGTGAGTATTATCGGATGGATTTGTTCCTATATATCTCCACTGACATAGGTTAGAGAAACAGACTTTGTTTTATGCAGAGAGAAATTTTAAAAGGGGAAGATGGAAAAAGACTGAGAATGGGGATACAAGAGATGAGGACATATGATAGAGAGAAGGAGATAGAAGAGATGAGGACAGATGATAGAGTGAATGGAAGAACAAATCTCTACTGTTGCTGTTTTTTACTTAGATTAAGTTAGATATGTGTAGGCCTACTTGACTGCATTTTGATTTTTTTAATCGAATTTGTATCATCATCATGATCATTGCCTTTTTCCCCCTGGGTCAGGATATAGGCCTCGGGAATATGTATACCCACACATATTTTATGTTCTGCATTTACTTTGGTGTCCATGTGGATTCTTGTGCTACTACTGGTCAGTAAAAAGAAAAAAAGGGATGTGTTCGCTAGTTTGCTGAGCGAGTGACGGGGAGGACGCATAATGTTCGCATGTATTTATTTTACTCATGTATGAGTACTCGTGTGAGTGAGAAACGTATATGTGTGAGGTACATGCATATTGTTGCTGTCTGTAGAAAAAATAAGCAACTCTGTTTGATTGAACTTACTTTTCAGTGTGAGTTTTAAACAAGGATGCCAAATCTCTGGTTTTTCCGGCTTTTTCTGTCCCCGTCGTTTTCTGCAACAAAAATTCTGAAATTATGCAAACTTGAGCCCAGAAATGTGAAATTATGCGATTCTGTTAATTTTAACAAAGAATAATAAAGGAAAATAAT